GTTTGGAGAAGGATATTTTATTTTACCATTTAGATAAATTTATCATTTAATTGGGTAAGAAAAAGACTAATATGAACTTTGATATATTCGCTCAAGAAAACTAAGGACAAAGACAATTATTTTCGCCAACATTAGCACAATTTTTGAAATTTCGATCTCCTGCTCTTGCATTTGTTTTTTTTGTTTGTTGAGATACACAGTACACAAATCAACAGAAAGCGAAGAAAGAAGAAACAGAACAACCAAAAAACTAAAACCAAGGAAACTAATTAAATTAAAACACCTTGACGATCTGTAGCAATAACTTCAGAAAGATCCGGCGGCCACTCCTCAACCCAGATGGGGAAGGACTCGGAAACCATGCCCATCCGAGCCAACGTATGGGCGCCAGAGTTTCCTTCGCGATTAACGAAACTGAACCCGCCTCCAATATGCAAAGAAGAGACAGTGTGTCGAATACTTGAAGCAAGAACACCAATATACAACATCTTAGTTCACAAAGTAGAAAGGTAGACCGGAGAAGATTGGAAAAATATTTTTGGATATCTTTGTCCCTTACAGATTTACAAATTATGCTATTAATACATTTTATAAAGAATTTAAAAGATTAGAATGCAACAAGTTTTCCTACACCATAAAATTAATTTTTTATTTAATTATCAATACTAATAAATATATAGGATTTAAAAGGTTAGAATGCAAAAAGTTTTCCTACAACATAAAATTAATTTATTCTTTAATTGTAATTCATACATTTGAAGAGTTTAAGAATTTCAAAAGTTTTTGTAACTTTTTATTCTCTACTACTATAAAAATAGGTTTCTTCCACCATTTTTTTTACAAAACTTTTCACTATTTTATTTTTAGTTTTCTCAAAACATCTATGAAAGATTATTCAATCTCGAAAACATCTCAAGATGTTTGTGGCATATTCATCAAGTTGCAAATGATGCACGTACCAAATCTATATATCTTGAATACCAAGCTTGCGACGTTACCGTTTTACGATTTTATGAAGTTCGATGTACCTAAAAGATGAGTATATAGTTGAGATTTGAATTTTTTTGTTACTATTTTATTCTCTTATCATGAAACAGAGTTATTCTCCATTGCTCTACTCACAATATGAAGTCTGTTTTATTTTGTTTATTTTTATTCATTTTTCCAGTATCCATAAACTCAAAAATAATTTACGATGGTGTGTGCAAGAGAATATGATACATGAGTCAATCTATATTATGAAATATAGATTTCAGATGTTACAATTTGATTTTGAAGTTAGGTATGTTTGTCTTGCAATAATAAGATACTAATTTTAAAAGAGGGGACATGGTGAAATTGACGGAGACTATTAATTTAGTTGGATTGAGAATTTCTATCGAAACTAAGTGACTTTAAAATTCATAGAAAACTTGAAATTAAAAAGGGACAAAATACTGAGCCAAATTCTTAATAGAAAACAATGTATATATATACTTATTTATTTATTTACGAAATTTGTATAGATACACATTTTAATTTTTTTTCTTCATTTATTATTGTTTTTTTTACTATCAGTGATATTTCTTATATAAAATTAATTAAGTTAAAAATACTTCGTGCAACGCACGTGGTAGCACACTAGTCTATATAAAAGTCTAAAGATAAAGAATTATAAAACTCAGCTAACTCTAATTTAAATGTTTGAAATGTGTATAAAATTTTAAAATATCATACATAATCACATTCTTGTGACTACAAGGAAAATGAGCTTCATTCGTCGTTGATCGTCATCAACGACGAAAATGTGAACGTCGTTAGCTGCCCGTAGCGACGAAATTTAGATTTTCGTCGCTGGACCTAGCGACGAAAATGTTTTCGTTGCTGGGCCCAGTTTTCAGCAATGAAAATAGGACCAGCGACGAAACAGAATTTGGTCGCTGAGCTCAGCAACAAAATAAGACATTGATTTTAACAATTTTAATTTTCATTGTTGGAATGCTATTGTGACGATTATTTTCGTTATTGTTTATTTATTGTTTATTTTTTTTACTTTTACGTTTTTTTTATTGTGACATTATGCGATTTCGTCGTTAAATACAGTGACATTTTCATTATTTTGTCGCTAAATAAAAACCAAACTTCAATGTTCTCTATTAGTATGTCTATATTTCCTGCAATTCTAAACAATACAATAAATGATAATAGAAATGATAAATCATATTAAACTTTAAAATTAAACATAGTGTAAATACATAATATATCAAAACTTGAAAAGACTAACGTATGTCATGTGTCTAAATATAAATTTTTTACATATTGATCTGATACAATAATAGTGACAAGTTTACCGAATCTTCGAGCATAACACAACACTTAGGCTTTATATTTCAATCCTGCACAAATAATTTCATGTGATGTTTTTTACCTTAAAAATATATTCGAAATCAAAATGATAATATGTAATATAACAAACTACATAAAACACATTCATGAAAACATTATATTCGAGCTCCAACAACAAAGAAAACAACATTCTAACTATATAACAAACTTCATATTCATATGCTTCAAACTCCAACAATAAAATATGAAACACATCCAAAAGTTTAAACTCCAACAAAATTCGCATTCAAACTCCCCCCTATACTCAAAATCAATAACTTCACCAAAATTCATATTCAATAAACCAAACACATAATAAGGACCCCATTCAAAGCAAATTATAAGCAACCAAACTAATTCCAAACATTTTTTTAAGCAAATTTCATTATTCCAGCTCAAAAAAACCTAAAAAAATAACCTTAAAAGAAACTCTAAACAAACATATTTCATTAAGAATTTAAGTTTAAATAACTTAGCAAGAACATTCTTAAAATTAATTTCAAGCAAATTCTAAATAAAATTTAAACTAAATTTCAAATGTAATACATAAATCAATTCAAATAATAGGCATACTTTAATTAAAAGTAAATTCCAAACATATATATTTAAGACAAATTTAATTATTGCACCCTACACAAGACATAACACAATTGTAAATCATTTGAAACAATAAACCTACTTTAAATAAAATCAAAAGAGAAAAATTTGTACCTAATAGTGTTAAATCCTTCATTGCACAAGAATGATCGATGAAAGAACTCCGGTGAAAGGAAGTCCCAAACCGTGAACGATTCTACACACAAAATAAGACATATAGAGTATAAATCAACAAAAATAAAACTCAAAAAGCAAATACACTTACCTAGCTATTGAAATTGACCAACACTCGGTGATTATTGTGAAGAAACTGGCGACAAGCAACCATGGAGGCTGGCAGCAGCGGTGAAGAACGAAAATGGAAGAGCATTGAAGAGGCAAAACAAAATGGAGGAGAAAAGGGATTGTGGCCGTGTTTAAGGGGCTGGGCGACGAAAAGATTTTCGTCGCATATGTCAAAATAGCACCAAAATGGGCGCCAAAATGTATTTCGACGCCCGCTTAACTTATGCGACGAATTTAATTTTCGTAGCGATAAATTTCAGTTTCGTCGCTTGAAAATTATTTTCGTCCTTAAATAATGTTGCTGTAGACCTTTTTGTTGCAGTGGTGCCATGTAAACTATTTTGAATCAATATCTTTGTCTTAGAAAATTTTGAAGGGGGTCTCTAGGATTTGGTCTTTGGGATTCTTGAGCGTATGATATGAGAAGAGGCACCACCACATGTCAATACTAGTCTTCCATATGGGATGTTTTTGACCAAAACATATATGTATATATAAATTATTTTAGGGATTATTTGGAAAAATTATACCATGTAGTCAAAGAAATAATAAATTGGGATAATTATGAATGTAGTTTGCAAAATGTGTAAATTGTATGATATTTTTTATGTTTAAAACATGGTTCTAATAACCATTTCACATAGCTGTTTAGCATGAGTATTGTATGTACCTATGTTGTTTACGGTGATTTTTGATGTGGTTCGAGAACTGGTAAGATCAGGTACGATTGAGCTTAAGAGTGAATTTGGGTGAGGAAGGCCTAAACAAAGAAAGCAAACATTTCTAACGCTCAAGTCTGTAAGAATCTGATCTAGGATCTCAATTTTGTTCAATTGAGGTGTTGGGGAATTAGTTGCACAAAGATGGGCGGTCTGGTTCTAAGGAAAAACTAAATTGTCCAGCCACATGAGAGTATGACAACTCCACTCTTCCCTCAAATCGTTTTCTATAGCTCGTCTGGCTAAACCATAAGTCTATTTTAATATATATATTTTTAAATGTAATCACTCACCAATGTTGAATTTTAAAATTAATGTACGATGAACTTACATTGAGTAGGGATAATATTTTTTCTCCTCTAAATCCATCCATTCAACCAATTTATCAAGTATTATGTCAAACTTATAGTCAATTATAATATTTATCTACGGCAAGAGACTAAATTAAAAAATATTAAAATATTAGAGACTGAATTGCAACTTTTTAAACAAAACTAACTTGAAAAGAACTCCCAAATAAAACATGTATTTTGTCTAGATTTTAACCAGTTTTGTAACAAACATAGAATTCTGTACACATCAGACTAACAAGAGATGAGAATTCCTTTCTTTTTGTGATGAAATACATGAGAAATCAAGTGGATGATACCATCATCATCATCATCCCAGAATGAATGTTCACACACATACAGGTATATATCAGGAGAAGCCAATGGATCTCTACAGTTCTAAATG